ATCACTATTCTGTAGACATTGTTGATTTGGTGGGTTTTGATTGTGGAAAAGAGGACTTGTAGTAAGAGAGGGAGTGAACCTGTAGGAATACGTGAGTGAGTAGAAGTTGATGGCAGGATTTGAATTATTCATTTTTGTGGCTGCTTCATGGTGAAATAGGAACAGGATTATTGCATTTGAGGGTTTATATTCAGTATTTCGTGAATGATGAAGCAGAAATCAGAAAATAGTGGCAAGCAATTACATAATGTAACTGCTGTCATATACCTGCTGGTTTTTGGTAAATCCCATTACGTGAATGGTAGATTTTATTATACATGTAGTTAATTATGAAAGTTAATAGTTCAATGTTTATTGTGATGTACTTCAGGTGCACGTTCACTGAATGATTTATTTATGCTTACAAGTTGCCCTTCCGGTGAAAACAGGTTTACAAAACCCATTGAAGAAGTGGTTACTTTCACTATAAAAATTGTAAATCACATTATGTGTTTTGTAAAATTCAGCGTGAAATTTTATTGGTGGTGAAAAGTAAGTTACTCATCCCCCAAAAATATGTTGCAAAACCTATTAACAAAGCGGTCACTTTTACTACAAAAGTTGTAAATCCTAGTATATGTTTTGTAAAATTCAACGTGAAATTTTATTGGTTTTTAGAAACAAGTTGCCCATCCCCTGAAAACAGGTTACAAAAGCCATTTAAGAAGTGGTCATTTTTACTATAAAAGTTATAAATCTCACTGTGTGTTTTGTAAAATTCAACGTGAAATTTTATTGATTTTTAAAAACAAGTTGCTCATCCCCTAAAAAGAGGTTGCAAAACCCATTTAAGAAGTGGTCATTTTCACTGCAAAAGTTGTAAATCTCACTATATGTTTTGTAAAATTCACCATGGAATTTTATTGGTTTTTAGAAACAAGTTGCCAATCCCTTGAAAACATGTCGCAAAACCCATTGAAGAAGTGATCATTTTCACTACGAAAGTTGTAAATATCACTATGTGTTTTGTCAAATTTAGCATGAAATTTTATTAGTTTTTAGAAACAAGTTGTCCATCCCCTGAAAACAAGTTGCAAAACCCATTGGATAAGTGGTCATTTTCACTATGAAAGTTGTAAATCCCACTATATGTTTTGTCAAATTTAGCATGGAATTTTATTAGTTTTTACAAACAAGTTGTTTATCTCCTGAAAACAGGTTGCAAAACCCATTAACAAAGTGGTCACTTTCACTATAAAAGTTGTAAATCACAATATGTGTTTTGTAAAATTCAGGACAAATGGTTTAATAATACTAGAAAACCAGACAGCTTCACATTCTCTGAAAATGGTTTTATGCGAAGAACAGAGACAGAACCAAAAAGAGGAATGCTAGGCAATAACATTTTAAGCTATGGGGACCCATCGAAAATGCTCTATGAAGAATAATATTTAAGCTTCCTACTTGTTTATCACAGTTGATGTTACTTCAGCGACCTCTTCGACAGCGACAATCTCAAGGAGTACAAATTCTTTCAGACAGGGCAATGTATTAACTTTTATAATTAATTACATGTATAATAAAATCTACCATTCACGTAATGGGATTTACCAAAAACCAGCAGGCATATGATAGCAGTTACATTACGTAATTACTTGCTACTATTTTCTGATTTTTGCTTCATCATTTAACTAAATATAAACCCTCAAATGCAATAATCATGTTTCTATTTCACCATGAAGCAGCCACAAAAATGAATAATCCAAATCCCGCCATCAACTTCTACTCACTCACGTATTCCTACAGGTTCACTCCCTCTCTTACTACAAATCCTCTATCCCACAACCAAAACCCACCAAATCAACAATGTCTACAGAATAGTGATGCGGAGGAGTAAGATAATAGCATTTCCAACATTCTTCTTTTCTTCTTCCCGTGTTTCATCGTCTTCCTTTGTTTGCTTTCTCTCACTTTCAGACAGGGCAATTCCGTCTTTTGGCCAAAAATCTGAATTCCATATTGGTACCCAGTGTCCTATTTGTCATTTTGCTTATTCAGGTGCCTTATTAATCTTTTTAAAATTCACATGGTATTTTGTTGTTATTTTTCCTTTTTTATATGCTATCACATCTTCTTCTTCTTCTTTTTTCCCCAATAAAATGCTATCACGTCATTTAGTTGTTTATGTCGAGTCATATGATTGATTTGATTTTGCAATAGAAAATTCTTTTTATGCTTATGCGTAAGCGCATTTTTAAAATTTTTTCAGCGAAGCATTTTAAAATTAAATTTAAAAGCACAGTTACTTAGAAAAAACATACCCTGTCGACAAATGACATTTATTTTTAATAAATAGTAAGTGAATGGTAAATTTAATTGAAGATTGATTTTTCATATTGATATACATTTGTTTTGATTATAATGGATGGTTTTAACTTCAAATTTCATGAACAGAAAAAGGTACAAAGGAGGGACTAGCGACAAAAGCCATGGGAAAGGAATTGGGGGGGGGGGGGGAATCCCATATTTTTCTTATTCTGCTCTGTATGGTTTCTATTTCTAACACCAATTTTCCTTTTTATTTAGAAAAAGGCCGCAATAAAGGCTAGGAGCCAGCACTATTTAAAAAAAATATAAAAACCATCAAATTGCATTTTTAAATATGGACTGCTAGTATGATTATTAAATACCATACAGCCGCCGTAAAGAAAACGAAAAAATTAGCTTCATGTTTGTTTGTTTTTTTTTTTTTTGCGAATAGCTTCATGCTTGAATCTATTTTCATGTATATAAACCACTAGCAAGGCCAACCTACATAAATTGGACGTCTCTTAATCAATATTAATAATTTATTGATGATATTTTCTAAAAGAGCTTATTAATGAAAATACGATTCAAATGCTTCAAAAAGTTTAAAGGACTTTAATCCCTTTTCCGGTCAAAAAAGAAAGGAACTTGGGTACCTTTATTTAATTGTTTTGATGAGATTTTAATTAAGTAAGTAATTATTTTATGAGACAGTTGACGTTTCAAGGAGCGTTTTGGGGATTTAATTGTTTGGACTAATTGATTGATTTTTAATTTGCACGAAGCTTATCATCAGAATAATTTTTTTCCCCTGAAAAAAGGGATTGTTTAAACTTTTGGTGAGTTGAGTGAGCCGAGTTGTTGAACTCACAAAATGAGATATATTAAAATTGATAACCTATTCAGAATAAATAGATTAAATGGGATACATTCATTTAATTCATAATCATTCGGCTTGCCCACTCTAATATATATGTCTTATTGTTGTTATACTTACACTATAATACTCCTCCGATCCTAAATATAAAACACACTTTGTAGTGTAATTTACACTACAAAGTGAATCTTAATTATACTATAAGGTGGGTTTTATATTTAGGACCGGAGGAGTATATAATTTAGTTGGGAACAAAGTTTGAACTTGGTAGAGAGTGAAACCTAATTTCTTTGATGCTCAAATATAATGCTCAAGTTTGATTAGCATTAAAGAGTTATAGCTTAACTCATTTGTATTATTGTCTATTACTTCTTCATTTACATGCGCTGCCAAAACAAAAAAGAAGTTACAATGAGTTTTAAGGGAAGCATTGAACATGCATAAATTAATTAGCCACGTCAAAAATAGTAAAACTAGTTGAAACATTGTCACCATTAATCCTAATTAAGACTTTGTTAACATCATGTGGTGTGTTAGAAAGATATTACCTTCTGTTCTATTTATAAAATCTTATTTATAGATTACAAATAATATTTTATAATTAGGATCTGAGATAGTAGTTTTTTACACATACACAAACACCCCATGCAAATTAACAGATAAAGTTAAAAAGCAAAATAAAACCAATTAAAGAAAAGGACGGAAAATGAGGCAGCTGCGGGAGGAGCAGCTCCGGCATTGAGGAGGCATAGCTGTCATGTCATGCAAAAGACCTTATAGTGGCAAACAAGGTTGCTAGAAATGAAAACGCTGTAAAGCACATGTGGGTACTATTTGCTAAATGGTCAAGGTTCATTGGCATGTGGCATTATATTGCATTTTCGCATCATTTTGGAACATTCATCTGTACTTTTATTTATGCTGTTTTTTTACTAACATACTGTCTCGAGTACTAAATATAAAAGTTAACTGATTGATTTGAGTAGATTAAAAAAATAAATTAAATTAGTTATATGAATCAAATAAGTGTTATCTTTTCTAAAATATCCTTACTAATCAAGTGTATTGGCTGGAATTATTATTATTAGAAGGACTACCTTGAAAAAGGATGGATAAATACAAGAGACAAATAGATTGAGGTCTTATAATTATGATCAAAACAAAAATTAAATAAGGTCTTATATTAAATATTAGAGGTAGTATTTACTAAATGGTCAATATCGATTGACTTAATAGTTGCCATGTTTTTGTATTATTTTAGAACATTTGTACGTGCTTTTACAAAATGCACATATAATCTAACTGTTCTTCTAAATAACGATGGGATATTAAAATATCTATCATACCCTCCAACTAAATTACATAATAATAAAATATTAAAATTCTTCCTCTCCATCCTTCTCAACTAGAAACCTAAATGCAAGAAGAGATTAAATTAAAAATTAATTTTTTCATAATATATAGAAAAATGATGAGATAGTTATTATGAGTTTCAGGAGATTTAATTACTAAAAAGTTTTAAGACAAGTAAGAGTATAAATTTGTTGTCATTTTTTTTATTAGAATTTGTTATTTGTTATTACATGTTTTTCAATTATTAAGGGACTTCTGAGTATTAAATTGTTTTCATGAGGTCTCATACTAATTTTCCTTAAATAATACACTTTCAAATTTGAAACTTGGTAGTCTTCTTTTTCTTTTCTGTCGCTATCAGGCCCACCGGTTTTTCTTCATTTCCCGGCTTTTCTCCAGACTGCAGGGAGCACATTGCACAAAGTCACTCGGCAACGAATCAGCCATTAGATGCTTTTCTCTGTTCTTTTGCATTCCCATTTTCCTTATCCCATTCGCATTCCACGTTCCTCCCACGCGCCTTCCCTCTTCTTCCTCAATTTCCATTTCCTTCTTCGCTCGCTTTGAATTCTCGTGCAGGTAACTGCCCCTTGCTTCCTCAATTTTTCTCTTCCCAATTCTGCATTGTGCTTCTCTTTGCTTCTTCACGTGTTTGATTATAACTTATTTTACGGTTATTTGAGGGTGTGATTTTCTTTTCTCAGCAGTTAATGTAATGCGTGTTTGTTTTCTTTCTTCAGTTCTGGGTTATGCCTCTTTTCTTTCCTTCTGTCGTTAATTATCATAGTATAGTTTAAATTTGAATTGGAAATCCTTGTCTTTTACATTCTCTATCTGCGAGTTGAGTTATTCCATCTCACATGCCTGACAGGAGATTTTAGTTGGTATTTATAAACTTCTGTCATCCTCTGCTATCTGTAGACTATAATTTACTGATGATTATCGCCAGCGGTTCCTGCAAATCGTTTGTTATTCTTATTGAAAAGAGGAATGAAATTCTTGCCAGTTATGCAACCTTACGCTTCTAATTGAAACTGGAAATTACTTGACGAAGCATTCTTTTTGGTTTCACATATGATATTTTCTGCAGAACCGTAACATTCAAAACTAACAGCCAAAAGTCGACATAGTGACACCGAATTAGGTTTTCTTTATTTCATCGGTGGGAGAGAAGTTTGTTTAAAGTTTAAACTGACAAGAACAAAGTAAAATAATTACTATATATATTATCCGAACCATATGATGTTCATAAAATTGTCTGGAGGAGAGTTTATTGTTTATTTCTTTGGGGCTTGAGGAGCCTCGAATGAACTGTTGCCTGGATAACAAAATAGATTTGGAAAAAAAAAAGAAGAAGATAGAAACCGAAGTAGCTTTGGGATATGAAAAAGGCGGAGTAGCTGTTTTTGTCCCCAAGGATATTAATATAATGTTGATGATAATACATAATCACACACTTTCAAGCATTACTCAGGTGTTTTTTGAAATGGAAAGCAATAGCAACCCTTGTAGATTCATCACTGATTCCCTCAACACTAAAAAAGCGAACATTAGTTTGTAAATTTAGGTTCCTTTCTCCATTTATCAACCGAAAAATGGGGTACTTTTTTGAGAATTCTGGTCGAGGCATACTATTTTCTGCGCTGCTCTGTTTTGGTTTGCTAGATTACTATTTCTTTGATTTTTTTTTTTTTTTGGCTTGATGTCACTTTATAACTACCAATGTCCCAGTCTCTGACATTTCATCATTATGTACTCCAATCTGTTTTTGGTCTTGCTTTATTTCCCCTGATTTCTGGTTCTTTAATTTCTAACACGACTTCTGCTCTTTGCCTCCCAACTAGAAATGCCTGAAATCCAGTTGGGTGCGCACACTATCCGATCACATGGAGCTAAGGTGGCAAGAAGACATTTGCATGACTGGTTGATTCTCATACTTCTAGCGGTGATTGATGTCGTTTTGAATATGATAGATCCGTTTCACCGCTTTGTTGGAGAGTGGATGTTGACAGACCTGAAATTCCCATTGAAAGACAATACGATTCCATTTTGGGCTGTTCCAGTAAGTTTTTCCTCCTGGGATCTATGTCATTCAAAGAAATTTATATCATGCTGATATTTCATATTATGTTGATGCCTATTAGCAAGATCAAATCAAAAGATAAACTCCTGAAATTTCATTATTCTGGGCAGTTGATAGCAATACTGGCGCCACTTATTGTCATTCTTGTTTACTACTTTATTCGCAAGGATGTTTATGACTTCCACCAGGCTATATTGGGTACGTTTGGAAGTTTTTAAAACATTCCATCATCACTCTGGTTTGACCATAAATCTTATTACGTATTGCCAAATGTGTGTTCAGGTCTTCTATATTCTGTACTCATTACTGCGGTTGTAACTGATGCGATTAAAGATGGGATTGGACGGCCACGTCCAGATTTCTTCTGGCGTTGTTTTCCTGATGGCAAAGGGGTGCGTTCTCCATGTTGTAAATTCTAATCAGTTAGATTAACTAACTAACATCCTTTCCATGTGATACATGCTGCTTTGGCTTAATAATAATGTGCTCAGTAAGATCGGCATTGATGAATTCGTGTGTGATATGACCAGGTGTTCGAACCGTTAACAGGAGATGTTCAATGTACTGGAAGTCTGAGTGTTATCAAGGAGGGATACAAAAGCTTTCCAAGTGGGCATACCTCTTGTATGTACTTTTATCAATCCTACATAAAATTGTTACATGCTTAATAGTTCAAATGGTTGATGTTTTAAGTCAAAGCATAAGTTGTTTGGGGTTACAATAACATCCCTGTATAAGAAGTAATGGACAGGTCAGCTTCCAGGCAAAAAGTGAACCAAGAATCTTAGCGTCCATATATAATCATACTACTACAAAAGTTCTAAAATTTTTTTATAAAACTCAAGTCTTTTGATTGCATGATTCAACTATTATGTTAGGGCAATTTCAAATTTTTGGTTCTACTGATCTATTAAGAGTTTATAACACGCTTCATAGAATCCGGTCGATGATATAGTCTCCTCACTTTTTATGTGCAGGGTCCTTTGCTGGTCTTGGCTTTCTTGGTTGGTATCTATCTGGAAAAATCAGGGCATTTGATCGTAGGGGTCACATTGCAAAGCTTTGTATTGTTTTCCTGCCAATTCTCCTGGCAGCTCTGGTTGGAGTCTCTCGGGTTGATGATTATTGGCATCATTGGCAAGATGTATTCTCTGGAGGTCTTTTAGGTATCTTTTTTTTTTGTTGTCTGCAGTCTGCTATCACAATTTTTATCTCTTTTTTTTATGTCAAGTTTCTTATTTGAGCATCTCTATGCAGGGATAACGGTAGCATCCTTTGGTTACTTACAATTCTTTCCACCTCCGTATGACATAGATGGTATGTCCATGAATTGTTCTTTTATATTTTTTTAAAACTTTAATTAATAATATTGTTCTCCGCAAGCCTTTGACGTGCTAGTCATGGCAACCCATTTATCCTTCCGTTCTTCCTTTTCTGAAGATACCAATAATGCACCGTAAATTATAACATAGCGAAGAGAGCGAGAGAGAGAGAACAATTAGTCAAACTGTAGCTTAATTTTACTTTTCTTGCTTGTATTATGTAGGATGGGGACCTCATGCATATTTCCAGATGTTGGCAGAATCTCGAAATGGACTTCAGTCCTTTGCTATCAACAATGACAATCTTTGAGGGCTTATGTTTAAGAACTTGATGAGGTTTCAGACTGTATATATCCCACACTGTAGTGATCGGAAACTCAACAAGCCAGTATCTGACTCTACATTCTGAATTCAGTGAAGAGAAAGAAAAGATGCTAAATGTTCATAATCTGTAAAGGTCAGGGAAACAAAGAGAATGGGAGGGGAAAGAAAATTTTTAATGAACTTAATTTAAACAATTGAAGAAGTAAGATTAAAAGCTTTCAATTGATTTTTATTAATCTTTTACTTTGCATTTTCTCTTTATTAAAATTTTAAAAACACACTTCTCCAATTTTTCAAATTAAACTCTTTAAAATCACCCCCACCCCCAAATTTCCCTGTACCATATATATTTGAATCTCAAGTGCAGATATCTATGTGGCTTCGGACTTGTTTCCCAGGATTTTCATTAATCATTGCTCATTTTGCTAAAATCAGAGAAGAGCTGCCTTCTGGGGTCATTGGCCGTGGTGTGTCGGTTTAATTTTGATTGAGAAGACTTTGTTGTCCTAGAAATATATCCCTTTCCCCCCCGGGGGACAACAGGCTTAGAAATATACTACCTCCGGTCCTAATTATAAAAACCAGTCAACTAATTTGAGGAGATTAAGGAAGTAAGTTGAGTTAGTTATTTGTCCTAAATAGATATTGTCTTTCCTAAAATATCCTTGCTAATCAAGTGTATTGATTAGAACTATAATTATTAAAAGGACTATCTTGGAAAAAATTAAATAAATATGAGAGACAAAGTGGATTGGGATCTTATATTTAGGACCAAAATAAAAATCAAATAGGGTCTTATATTAAGAACTGGAGGTAGTATCTTATATCTTTTTTGGGGTAACAATATGTCTTATATCTTAAGTGGGGCCGGTCAAAAAATATATCTTTAAGTGGGCACGACATTTTTTTTTTCTTTTTTCCTTCCAAAATGGTTGGACTAGCGTCCTTTAAATGTTTTTTTTCTTTACTTGAAGACATGCATATAGTTCAATTTAAGTGTTGATATGATATCATTCATTAAACCATGTAGTTAGTCTTGGGCGTGAAAACTAAATGTTTAGCAAAACAAATGTAAAATTAGATTAAAGCATATGTCTTTTTATTCCAAGAGTAGTTAATTTATACTCAAGCATAACGTACTCCTTATTCTGCTATGAGGAGACAGAATATTTTATTTTATCTTGTAAGTTATATTATTAAATTTTTTATATGAATGTACAAATATTCTTTATTTATTATTCATAAAAAAAGTAATTGAAGTGTAGAATATACTCCCTCTGTTCCTTATTATAAGAGACATTTGATGCTTATAGCATGTTCCTATATATAAGAGACACTTACAAGTTGTCTCTACTTTTTTGTGTTGATTTACTATTTTACCCATATTTATTATCTCCAACTCACTCTCTCTCTCCCTCCCACTTCTCTTTCTTTTAATAATTTAATTGTTCTCTCTCATGCTCTCTCTCCTTATTAATGAGGGCATTTTTGGAAAAAATTATACTTTTTACACATTAATTGTTCTTAACTAATTTTAACTGTTTTTTTGATCAACGTACTTCAGTTATTTGTCTCTTATAATAAGGAACGGAGGGAGTACATAATAAGTAAGAATAAGTTACTAAAATTTAAGATAAAATTAATAAAATTAAAAAAAAATTTAACTTTAAAAAAACATATTCCTTCTGTTCTAATATAAGACCTATTTTTTAGTATAAATTATAGTACTGAATGAGTTTTATATTTAAAACAAGAGAGAGTATTCGAAATACCTTGTTAGTATCTAGCAACTTGAAGTTTTAATTTTATTCTAAAATAATTATTGTTTTGTTATAACATATTCTATTTAATTTTTTAAAAAATTTGTGTGCATAACTATAACTTTAAATTCAAATGATAATTATTTTAAACTGACAGAATATTAATGAAAAGTATTTTTATACAAATTATGTTTGTTATTATTATTTTATAAAATCTGTTGATTATTTATTGTGGTGGTTGTTGTAGTAACATTAAAATCATTTCCATTCACATTTTTTTTCTTATCATCTAGGCCAAATTTTATTCTCTTATTCCCATATTGTAATATGCACACCAAACTTATTGATGCTAGTTTCTTCAAGCATCCTAATCTTCATGTATAAAACAAATTAGCCCTACTTAATGACAATTCAATTCCTAGTCTTCATGAGTAATATAATCTGATTGAGTTCATGTTCTTTTTTTGGCCAAACAGATTGAGTTCATGTTTTGACTTTAGTACTTTTAGGAAGATTAATTTCTGTGTTCACCCATCCACACACACACATGTGAATTAGTAAATAAAAATGGGGGCATTTATCGAAAAAAAAACAAAGAAAGGAAAAAAAAAGAAGAAAAGGCCAGCAAATCGCCTCCAGCGTCTAGATGGCCAATTGAAATATCTCTGTCGGAGATATCCCGATTCTCTAAAAGCTTCCGGTTCATATTGGATTTCCATTTTCTTGTTTTGCTAATTGATAACTAGAAAGAGTCATTAACATAATTTGCTAATTTGGTCTGGACTTAACAGTATATGCTTAGTACATTTAGTTAGTCTTGATGAAGTTAAAAAAAAAAAAAACTCAGCTGTACATTCACTCAATCCTTTCCTTACCATGAACGTTGTGTTCGCGCGCAGTGGGTTCTCCCATTGCCCATCAGGTTGAGGTTAGTGATGATATCGTTGGAGTCCGGATTTGTTCATTGAAATAGGCTACTCCTAATCTATTGAACGAAGATTTGAATTCTTATTAAAAAAATATTTATATTTATTGTCCTATAATAGTGTCTTGAATAAAATGATTTTAATAAAAAGGTGCTTATATGTAGCCGGAAAAAAAAGAAAAAGAAAAAGGCAAAACTAAAATTTCATGGATGAGTCCATAAAACCCAATTCGGACCTTTTCAATTCAATTAGATTCCACATGTAATCCACATATGCCAAGCCAAATGGTGATTTGGCATGGATTTCAATTCGATTTCAACTCCATTTTCATTCTTTTAATAAATAGGAGTGTTAGCTTATCCCGGTCAATTTAGGACGAGACTAAATGAGAAATTTTTTTTTTTGAATAGGATAAAACAATAATCAGAATGAGACAGGATTGTATCATCTCATCTTATTTTAGGATATTTATTTAGTTATTTTAAAAAAAAATATTTATTAAATTAATATTACTGTTTGTTTTTTTCTATTTTTTTTTTCCTGCCAAGGGCGTGATTTTTTTTACTTATAATTCTAACTCAAAACTGCATTGATTTTTTTTTGGGAGGGGGGGGGGTTGAAGAGGGGAACTTGACCGGACACAAGATGTAAATTCCGTCTTGTCCTTATACGCTGGGACAGGTCCGTGAGCAGCCCGGCATTGACTTCTAGCATACAAATAGGGCCCTAAGCTTTCAATTCATATTGGATTTACATTTTCTAAAAAATGTTCGGCAACTTTCAAAAACACATTTAAAAAACTATTTTTTTGTAGAATGAAACAAATTCCTCTATATATTTACTTCGTAAACTGTAAAAGTACTTTTAAAACTAAGCTTTGGTTTTCATCCAAACACATCCTAAGTAACAACTAATAAATTAGAGTCATTTTGCCTAATACTACTCCATCCCTAATTATAAGAACCTTTTGGCCAAATTACACTTTTTAAAAAAACAGTTAAAATTAGTTAAGAGCAATTAATATGTAACAAATATAATTTTTTTTTCAAATATACCCCTAATAAATGTAAGAGAGTAATAATGAAATAAATAAAGAGAGAATATATGGAGAGAGAATATATGAAATTTATTAGGAATGAAATAGGTAACAATGCATTAAATGCTCAGATAAACTTAAAAAGGACCTTATAAAAAAGGACAAATCTATTAAAAAAAATCTTATAATTAGAGACAGAAGGAGTAGTCATATGGCCGAGTGATCCCAACACTGAACATCCCATTTTTGTGCAAACTATCATCCCACTTCACACCATAGCTATTGACTGTTAGGTAGTGTTTGGTTGGGGTTTTTTTGAGGGGAGGAAAAGGAAGGAAAGGGGAAATGGAGAGATGAGTGTGTTTGGTTGGGAAGAGAGAAGGGGAGGAGAGGGAAATTAAAATTTTTTGTCTTTGTCCTATCCCTTCCCCTTCTCCCCTTCTCCTCCCAAACCGGGAGGTTTTGGAAGGGGAAGAATTAATTTGCCATTTCTTGATTAAAATAGTCTTTTTGTTTTTTCAATATCCTAATTTTATCTGGCACTTCCCCTTCGGCAATTCCTTCCTATTCACGTGTTGTTAGCTTGTCCCGTTTTGGTCAATTTAGGACGAGACTGAACGAGAAAATTTTTTTTTGAATAGGACAAAACAATAGTCAGAATGAGACATGGTTGTACCATCTCATCTTGTTTCAGGATATTTATTTAGTTATTTTTTAAAAAAATTATTTATTAAATTAATATTACTGTTTTTTTTCAATTATTTTTTTTTCTGTCAAGGGCATGATTTTTTTTTACTTATAATTCTAACTCAAAATTGCATTGATTTTTTTGGGGGGGGGGGGGGACGAGAGGGGAACTTGACCGGACACAAGAAGTAAATTCCGTCTTGTCCTTAGTCGCTGGGACGGGTCCGTGAGCAGCCCGGCATTGAATGCTAGCATACAAATAGGGCCCTAAGCTTTCAATTCATATTGGATTTACATTTTCTAAAAAAATACTACATCCAATTCTTAATATAAGTCTTATTTGACTTTTAGTTTGGTTTTAATTATAATATCCTGGTCTATTTTATCTCTCATATTTATATATTTTTTACAAAATAGTCCTTCTAATAATGATAGTTCTAGCCAATACACTTAATTAGTAAGGATATTTTAGGAATGACAACACTTATTTATTACAAATAACTAACTTAACTTACTTCCTTAATCTTCTCAAATTAGTCAACTATGTCTTATAATTAGGACCGGAGGTAGTATTTGACAACTCTCAAAAACACTTTTAAAAAATATTTTTTCGTAAACAATAAAATTTTCTATATATTCATGTAAACTATAAAAGTACTTTGAAATTATGATTTGGTTTTCATTCAAACACCTTCTAAGTAACAACTAACAAATTAGTCATTTTGCCTAATACTACTCCGTCCCTAATTATAAGAACTTTTTGGCCAAATTACGTTTTTTAAAAAAACAG